TGAGGCGTCAGCCATCTCTCTGGTCTCCCTCCAACGACAAATTACGTCGCTGGCTCAGGTGACTCTCCAAAACCGGCGGGCCCTAGACCTACTCACGGCGGAAAAAGGAGGTACCTGTCTGTTTCTTCAGGAGCAGTGCTGCTACTACATCAGTGAAACAGGCCTGGTAGAAGAGAATGTCAACACTGTCTATCGCCTCCAAGAAGACCTCCGGAAAAAGCAAAGTGCACCAGCTTCGCCTCTCAACTGGTGGCAACCCCCTATACTTACCTGGCCGGCTCCCATTATTACCCCCGTTATCCTCGTTTGTCTTCTATTAATACTAGCCCCCTTTCTCCTCAGATTTTTACAGGCTCGCATAAGGGAAATTTCCAGGGTGGCCATAAACCAGATGCTACTTCATCCCTATGTCCGACTCCCAACCCAGGCACCAGCCAACTGACTCCCCCCCCCGCCCCCACTCCACCCCTACACAGCAGGAAGTAGCCAGAAAGAAGCGGAGTCCTATATCATCAAAAGGGTCAGAATGTAAGGCCGGTTGCCTTGCCGGGAGCTCGGACATGCCCATCCCCCTCTGCACCTGAAAACTACATCATCACTCCCCACTGGGCACCAAGCTCTGCACTCAGCATCTGGCTTCGCCACATAGCCTCCCCAATGCCCACTTCTGTACTCCACACCCAGGTCTGCACTCAACACTAGACTCTGCACTCGGCACCTAGCCCGCCACTGGAAAACCCCACCAAAATTGTAAAAGGAGCCCTGCCAAACCTACCCAACAGCAGTTTGCCCCATCCATGTCCCGCTCCCCCTGGGCGGCACGTCCACCGGCAGTCCCACCCGCCTACCAATAGTAGCTTGCCCCGTGCACGTCCTGTTCCTCCACAACCAATCAAGACACGCTCACTCACTAGAAAACTCCACGCCTCTAGAAGTCAGGCGCGACTTCTCTGGCCCCTTCCCTGACTTCTCTGGCCCCTTCCCCGGACCACAGAACCTTGCCCGGGAGCTGAATAAATTGGCATTTATTTTTCTTACTCCCGCCTAAATTTCCTCATTTAAACTTGGCAATAACCCTTACACTCATCAGAATTTCAGTAGAGCCAATCTACAACAAAATGTTGAAGAAATCTTGGGACATGTTGAGAGCTATGCCATATTAGGAGAATGGAGGCAGCTTGTATTCCAGGTGAGATGGACTTGGTACAGAAATGAGGAGCTAACAAAGGTCAGAGATGTCCCTGCAGGTCAAGAAAGCCAACGTAAATCTCAGCTAAAAGTTCCAAATTTCTCAAGAGCTTGCCTGGAAGATATTACAATTCTAGCCAAGAGGCTGCTGTGAAATCTATTTTCCCACAATGTGGCTGTAGTGTCTCCAAAGAAAAATGGCTTCTCTTTTTCCTAATGCCAAATTTAATCAGTTTGGTATTAGGGAGAAAAAAAGTTTCCTGTGAGTGCCTAGCAAATCCTAGGGGAAGAGGTTTCTGGGAAATGTAGTTCCTTCCTGGCATCCCAGCAATGAAGAAAAATCCTTAGAAGTTGAGGAGGAGGTGGTTGTATTGATGCCAGATTGACAGCAGACAATCCAGCTTATGTACTTCCTCTAATTCTCCAAGACTTCTTCCTGGAGAGCCCTCAAATCTCCTTCCCAATGTAGATGTGCTGTGCTCACACATCCCAGATGCTAGCCTGTGAACTTCAGCAGGCTACCTTTGCAGTCTTACCATGTCTTCCAAAGCCAAAGTGTAAGTTAAATATGCAGGGCTGGTCTGGTCATATCTCAACAATGTGTCTTCCTAAGGTGGCTTTGCTCAGGACTCAGCTCTTATGGAAAAACTTTTGATAGGGAATTGGGCAGTAAATGGCATCATAGACATTAGATGACCTGATTAACTGAGGCCACTCCGATACTTTCAAAAGCTGGACAATCTGAAGTAGACTGGGGGCTGAAGAAGGGCTTCATCTGGGCAGCATTTGCCATACTCTTTCCTCTCTGGGCACCAGCCCTAGATATTCTCAGTTCTTGAGTAGATGGGGCATTTCTGTAAGCTAAGGGAATTCAAACACAACCCAAAGGACAGCGAAACCCTAGGATTTCTCAGACTTCTCACATGACCTTTTCTGTCTTGATTTCAAGCACTTACCCTTTGAAGGCAGAAAATGCAACAGAATTATTCAGTCTTTCATTCCAAAGGGGAAGGGGGAGTGGGAAGGGGGTGGTGCCAGAGTTAACAGCATTAGGTAGAGTCAGACCAAGGTTTGAGTCCTCACTAAGCATGTTTTTTCATTTATAAATGGAGATAATTAGCTCTTCCATCAGAGTTAATCTGAGGATTAAATGACAATTTTAAAAGTGCCCAGCTCACTGCCTGCTATTAATGTATACATTGCCTGATCTATGTTAATGTGTTAAAATATTATTTTCACAGTCGTCTGGGTCTATCTTTGAAAAGGATGAGGTTTGGCCAGGCACAGTGGCTCACGCCTCTAATCCCAGCACTTTGGGAGGCTGAGGCGGGTGGAGCACCTGAGGTCAGGAGCTTAAGACCAGCCTGACCAACATGGAGAAGTACAAAAAATACAAAATTCGCCAGGCGTGGTGGCACACCTGTAATCCCAGCTACTCAGGAGACTGAGGCAAGAGAATTGCTTGAACCCAGGAGGCAGAGGTTTCAGTGAGTTGAGATCGCACCATTGCACTCTAGCCTGGGCAACAAGAGTGAAACTCCATCTCAAAAAAAAAAAAAAAAGAGTTTCATCTGAGCTTTATCTTTCCATAAGGACCTAAGAAGGGATGAAGAGTCCCTTTCACAAAAACCACCCGGAGCTGCCTTATGTGGAGTTGGAAGGTTCACCTTACTTAGGAAGGAGACAGGAGATAAAGGTTGAGAGATAAAGTTGAGATAAAGGTTGATGCTGTGGATGATGGGATGCCACCTGGAGGGAAACTGGGTGGTTGAATTCTGTGGGAGATTTTCCACTGGGCTTGAATGCATGGCACCTGGACTCTGACTTGGAGCGGAACCCAGATGGAACTCAAAGTGCTCAATCCTTCAGTGTCCTCAAAGGGAGAACCTTGACCACACTCATTTTTTCTGTTTTTGGGGGTTTTTAAAAACTTTTTTATTGAGGTCTAACAAAATACAGTAAAGTGCACAGCTCATTGAATTTTTACATTTGTGAAAATACTGCCCAGATCAAAATCAATACCATTTCTATTCCACCAGAGGGTTCCCGTGGGCCCCTTCAGAATCAATCCCACACCACCTGGAAATAATCACTATTCCTTGGGTCACCAGCAGTTAATCTTGTCTGTGCTTGAACACTGCATAAATGGAACTTCTGCCCAGCTTCTTTCATTCAACTTTTAGGTCTGTGACGTTTACCCGTGTTGTCACATGTATCCGTAATACATTCTTTTTAAATTAGTTTTCATTATATGAAGGTACCGCAATGCGTTAATTCATCCTACCATCAATGTATAGTTTGGGGCTATTATGAATAAAGCTGCTATGAATATTCTTACAATATCTTTTGGTGAGCATCTCTGCTGGGTACACACACCTACCTACAAGCAGAATTGCTGGGGCAAAGAGTAGGCAAATGTTTCACTTCAGTAGATCGTTTTCCAGAGTGCTTGGAAACATTTCACCTCCGCTCCCACTAGTTTTTGAACATATCACAAAGGAGCTTCTCCATTGGAGTGTTCCCTATGGTCTTGCGGAAAAAGAGCAGCTCGATGCGTTCCGCAGTGATAAACCTCAAAGACGGGAGGAGTAGCAGCAACTTCCCAAACCTGAACAGGAGAGAGGACACCATCAGTTTTAGGACCAGCTTCTTAGCACTAGTCCTTGGGGCGGTGCCCTCCCAGGAAAGGCAGTGGAGGAAGGAGAGGAGAGACGAGGCCTTCAGAGCGGGTCAGGACGAATTTCAAGGAAAAGTTGAATTCACCAAAGGAGTTGTCTTCACCTACCTTGACCCATTGTGAGCCGCCACCCCCCATATAGTTTAGGAGTGCAATGAAAATAATGAGTAAATATTGTTTATTATATGTAAAGATTGTAAAGTGAAATTTATATTAACTTTATACAGATGATTTGACTTTATCATGGTGTGAAAATGATAAGCATTCAGTATGCTCCTTAAGATGGGTTATGTATGAAAATTCATCTTTACCTTACAGTAGCTTCAACTTAACAATGGGTTTATCCAGACGTAACCCCATCATAAGTCAAGGAGCACCTGTATATGAATATATTATTATTAATCATATATATGAGTATTATGATAATCATGTTATTTATCAGTAAGAATATGTTTATAAGAATACAGATTCCTGCCTGTAAACCTCCTAGGATGATGATAGCCATTACTGAAAATGTCCTGAAGTTGACGGATAATTTTGGTGACTGAGACAGTCATTGAGAAACATGTTTATTGTTTTAAATAAGAACTATTTGCTAAGACAGAAGTCTGCAACACAAAAGATGGATGGTGAAGCCCCAAGAGACAGAAGGGGGAACCAAACCTTTCCTGGGTAGGTCTGATGGCCGAGCAGCAAGGAGGCTCCTCCACATCCGGCAGCCCCATGCTCCACTCACTGTGAATTTCGGGGAGGACTTCCCCACCACCCAGTGATCTGCTGGACTTTCTTTGCCAATCTAAGGCCTTCCTTTCTCTTGCTAGTGCCAAGTGAGCAGCCCTGAGCAAGTCATATACTCTTCCCATCTGCCTTCCCTGCTTCTGTTTTTCCGATCTAAAGAGTGGGAGGAAGAAGAAATAACTATAATGTCAGAGAATGTTTTTCCAAACTGCAGGTATTGCCCCGCTTAGTGGGTCTGAAATTAAATTCATTAAGTCACAATTAGCCTTTTCTAAAAAAAATAAAAATAAAAGAGAACTATCAGGTAAATTGTACAAAGTAAGGGTAGGAATTACTTGGTGGAATTTCGCTTCGGTGTCTCTGTGAATATCAGGTGGCGATGGTAATTGTGTTTCTTCCTGGCTGCTGCAGTTTTTAAAAACGGAAATATGCTGGATTAGAGAGCCCCAAACCATTATTTTCACACTCAGTTCTGCTTGTCGTAGGCAATGAACTGCTATAGAAGGGACATAGGAAACCTTAATCAGCATTTTGAAATTTGATGCAAAATCAATATGCCAGGATATCTCTGGGGAGCTGGTTCCAACAGAAAGTTGGCCAAGAAAGGCCCCCGGTTTCTGAATGTCTCTGATGCCCACTCTTCAGATGCTGAGTCAAGTCTTTATTACTAAGACTTCCTGTGCTCATAAGCAGCACAAATCTTCCTGTGCTATATGGCATATACTTTGTTGCTTTTCTTTTTTTTTTGTTGTTTGAAATGGAGTCTGGCTCTGTCACCAGGCTGGAGTGCAGTTTCACGATCTTGGCTCACTGCAGCCTCCGCCTCCCAGGTTCAAGCGATTCTCCTGCCTCACCCTACTGAGTGGCTGGGATTACAGGTGCGCGCCACCACGCCCAGCTAATTTTTGTATTCTTAGTAGAGACAGGGTTTTACCATGTTGGCCAGCATGCTCTCGATCTCTTGATCTTGTGATCTGCCCACCTTGGCCTCCCAATATGCTGGGATTACAGGCACGAGGTACCACACCTTGCCTACCGTGGCTTTTCCTAAAAGGAAATTATCTCTTCTCCTTGTAATCATTTCTTGGATTAGAGGGGATGCAAGGATGCCCATATTAGCTCGCTTCTTCAGAAAGAACTGCTGGAAGCCCCAAAGAATGCAGATAACATGGTGTAAAATAACCAACAGATGCCTGAAGGCCAAGCGTTCCAACCTTGCCTGGGATCTATGACATCTGCCGCTGCTGGGCCAAACGGGGTAGTCCAAAGCGCTGGCTCCCACCCCACCCTGGCCCAGCCATGCTCAGCCTGCAGCAACTCTCCCCCAAACCTAGCCAGGGCCATCCACGTGCTTGGCGTATGTGAGTGCCTCTTACAGGATGCTCACCGCACCTCCAAAACACCTTATCACCTTCCCTCAAAACCATCTTTCTTCCTGGCTTTCCTTTTTATTTTTTGAATAACTTCTACTCCCAAAGAGCTCCTCTTCCCTCCTTCCTTACCTTCACCCAAACACCCGGTCTGACCCATTCCAACCCTAGAGTCTCCCTTCCACTCCCCCTGGCCATACCCAAAGATCAGAACTCCGTGGAACCACCTGGAAGGTGGCAGTAGCTGCCACCCCTTTCCCAGTATTCTCCGTACCCATGGCCATGCCAATCTGCGTGAGGTCCGGCCCCGTGTGTGACACTCTTCTGCTCCAAAGCCTGCAGTAGCTGCCCTCTGCCTCCCAAGTCAGATGTGGCCTTTGGCTGGCATTCAAAGTCATGAACAGGCTGGTCCTGGGGTACTTTTCTGGCTTATTCTCCCCATTTCTCGCTGGCAGGAACCTGCTATACCTTCAAGGTGGGCTCCTGTCCTGATAACATATCATGCTTTTCCCTCTCTCCCTATGCAAACGATGTTTGCTTTCAGACTTCTCCTTCCTTTCTCCTCAAAGTCCCTCCCAATCCTGCTTTAGTTTTCTCTTGCTGAGGGGTCTCTGTCTCCTGAAGATTCACGCAACCCTCAGTGGCTGGCTAGGGCAGTTTTCATCTTCAGTGCAGTCACTGTGCCGGCTGTCTCTGGAAGGCAGTAGCTGTGTCTTATGCTCATCTTGGTCCCCACTCCCCAGGCCTGGCACTGTTCCTGGGACACAGTAGATATTGGCTGTGTGCTATTGAACTGAGACCCTTGTGCTGTCTAATCAGTGAGCCCTGGGAGGGCATGGGAGAGACGGGGGAAGGGTGAAGAGGGCAGGGACAGACGAGCGGGTGGGCAGGTGCCCAGGTCACCTGACGGGCTGGCTGGGGTGATGGGCCTTGCTGTGCTGGCTCAGCATCACCTGGGACTGGTCCTGCAAGGCCTCCACGTGCTCAGGATCCTTCAGGCCCCGCGTCTCTGGGGAGAAGCAGCACCAGTGAGCTTAGCACAGGTTTCGGCTGTTACAAGGCTGGCCGTGAAGTGGTGGCCCAGGGCTCTGGCTGCAGACATGGGTGTGGGGCCCTGTGGGCTGGGCCCCGCCGGGTCCAGGAAAACCACCAGGAGCTCCATCTGGGGCTCAGGGGCCCCCAGGGGCTCCCAGCCTGCCCTGTCCCCTCACAGTCAGCCAGGAGGGTACCCGAGGAGAAGGGAGTCCAGCCTTACTGCTCTCCCCATCCCCCAGGATAGAGGCCTGTACACATCTGCACACATGTGGGTGGTGGGGGGAGAGTGAGAGGCACAGGGAAGTCACTAGAATTCCCATTCAAAGCTTGGGCAAAGACTCAGCTACCTGGCTTGAAGAGGACGAGGGCCTTCATGCAGGCAAACTCCGTGGGGTCCACTGCCAATGCCCGGAAGCGAGAGATAGTTTCCTGCAGGACGCGCGTCTCCATGCTGGCCAGCGTGAGCCGGCCCTGGGCACCACCAGCAGCAGAGGCCTCTGGCGGTGCCAGCAGAGGACAGCTATCCAGAGGCAGAGACCACTGGATGGCCCCGAGGAGGAAGAGTTCACTCCACGCCTCTTCCAGCAGGATCACCTGTGCCCAGAAAGAGGAGGCCTGTTACGGCGCATACACAGCTTCTCTGGCTCAGTCTGGAGCCTCTGCCACCATCTCAGGCACCCCAGGAATGAAAGTGCTGTCGTGGGAACTGAGAATGCTCTCCTGACATCAGCCAGGGGCCCAGAGCACTGGGATTTGGCATCATCTGGCTCAGCTGCTTACCCTCTGAGACTCGCTGGGTTCCATCCAGTGCTTCCGCTGGGACATTTAGAAACACCCAGCGCCATGGGAAGCTGGGCAGCCTCAGGGACATGCCCCATGAGTGTCCTAAGTTGAGTGTATTCAACAGACGTGGCCTGACTCTTCTGAGCTGCTCTATCTCAGCACACGGACTGGCTGAGGGGCTCAGACCCTCCTTGTGCCATTCCTGGTTTTTCTCAAAGGTCTGATCGCCCATTAGAAGCCGAGAGGGGTGGCCCAGAACTGGAGAGATTGGACTAAAATGCAAGCCCTGAAGTCATAGGCCCTTGTGCTCCAAGGGGGCCTAGAGTCAGCCAATCGGGTTGTTCAGGGTGTGCGGGTCACCTGTCACCCACAGAACATCAGGCCTCAGGGTCTTCCAGGACTTAAGAAGACCCAGGGAGCCATAGGCACTGCCTTCAAATCCCTGGTCCCTGTGGGTCCCCGACCATCATCATCTCCTAGGTGTGGGTCCCCGACCGTCATCATCTCCTAGGTGTGCACCCCATCAGCAGCATCTCCTAGGTGTGCACCCTGACCACTGTCATCTCCCAGGTGTGCACCCCATCAGCATCTCCCAGGTGTGCACCCCATCAGCAGCATCTCCTAGGTGTGCACCCCGACCACTGTCATCTCCTAGGTGTGCACCCCGACTGTCGTCATCTCCTAGGTGTGTGCACCCTGTCATCTCCTAGGTGTGCACCCCAACCGTTGTCATCTCCTAGGTGTGCACCCCATCAGCATCATCTCCTAGGTGTGCACCCTGACTGTCGTCATCTCCTAGGTGTGCATCCCATCAGCATCATCTCCTAGGCATGCAGCCCGACCACTGTCATTTCCCAGGTGTGCACCCCAACCACTGTCATCTCCTAGGTGTGCACCCCATCATCTCCTAGGTGTGCACCCCGACCGTCGTCATCTCCCAGGTGTGCACCCCATCAGCATCATGTCTTAGGTGTGCACCCCGACCACCGTCATCTCCCAGGTGTGCACCCTGACCACCATCATCTCCCAGGTGTGCACCCCATCAGCATCATCTCCCAGGTGTGCACCCCGACCACCGTCATCTCCTAGGTGTGCACCCCGACATCATCCCTGCTCTGGAGATGCATGCACCCCCACCGTCACCATCCCTGAGATGCACCCCTGGCCGTCGCTGACTCAGATATGTGTCCCCAGCTACTGCCATCCAAGCTGTGTGTACCTCCATTCATACTGGCATGGGGATGTGCCTGCCCCGTCTGGTTGACTCGAGCGGACCGCCTGACCCCAGCTCAGCCTAGCTCCCCAGCAGGCAGCCTGGATGGTACCTGATCCCGGAAGGGCAGGCTGGAGAACACGGGCAGGTTCTTGGCCCACTTGACAGACATGAAGAGCAGGCGAGCCGACGTCTCATGGATGCTGTCCAGGCCACAGGGGGAGGAGGAGGAGAATGGAGAGGAGGGGAACTCAGGGTCATTGCTGGTGACATCAATGTTCTCATCAGCTGTTGGAGGAGAAGGTTGTGACCTTAGCACCTGCTTCTTGGGAGGTGACAGGGAGTGCTTGGGGCCCCGGGAGAGTGAGGATCAAAGCGAGGTGCTGCAGCCCTGCTGTGACCCGGGAACCCAAGCCCTGCTGCACCCTCAGCCGCTCTCCACTTACCATCTTCTGGCTCCAGCTTAGCACAGGTCTCGGCTGTTATAAGGCTGGCCATGAAGTGGTGGCCCAGGGCTCTGGCTGCAGACATGGGCGTGGGGCCCCGTGGGCTGGGCCCCGCCGGGGCCGGGGGAGCCACCAGAGGCTCTGGCCGGGGCTCAGAGTTGGATTCCATGCTGTCCAGGCGGACCTGGGCTGTGCTTCGGGGCTGGCGCTCGTTCTGCACAGCTGGGGAGGCAGGAAGGGTCAGGACGACACGCCAGACCCGTTGCCCACCTCTTGCCATGTCCCTGCCCCGGGCCAGCCCCCTGCCTCACCATCCTGGTTCATGCCTGCCTGCAGGCACTTCTTCAGCCGGCAGGCCTGGCACTGGTTGCGATGGGCCTTGTCCACGGGGCACATCCCTGCCCCCACCTGGCACCTGCAGGCAAAGGGGAGACCCTGGGGGTCAGCGTCCCTCCCAGGCCCTCCACTATGGGTTTGGACATTTTTGCCCAAGCCCCTCCTCCTGTGCACGCTTGCTCACCCCTCCAGAACCCCTCAGGGGCAGAAGCCCAGCAGGGCCCTCCGCCCTCACCTGTAGATGAGCCTCCGCCGCACGCTCCTCTTGAAGAAGCCGCTGCAGCCATTGCAGGCGTAGATGCCATAGTGCTTCCCGCTGCTGCTGTCTCCGCACACGCGGCACTGGAGCGAGGGGCCCATGCCTGAGGGGCAGGGGCAGGGCTGGGCCGGGGCAGGGCCACACGCTCCCCTCGGTGCCACAGCTCCCTTGCCCAGTCCTCAGGCTCCGCCCGCCCTCATTTGAACCACCCGTGACTCTCCCGTCCGAAGTGTCTCCTTCATGGTGCCACTCACCCCAGCCCTCACTGTCATTCTGTGCCCTTTCTCCTCCCTCCGTGGCCAGTTTTCAGCAAGAGTCCAAGCCCTGGCTCCACATCCCCAGCTCCCATTCCTTCTCTGTGGGTGGCAAATTCTTGTCAACACCACTAGGGACCTCTGTGCTGTGAAGCTCTAAGAGACTTCTCTGTTCTTTCCTTTCCCATCCGCTGGGCCGTCCTGTCCTGTCCTGGCTCTGCAGCCCACCTGTCCACCCCCATCCCCGTGTGTTTCTAGGATTCTGGGTTTGCCGGCAGGCTGCCCCACCCTTGCCCACAGCCGGTCCCCGGGCTGGGTCTGACTTGCTCCGGCTCTTTGCATGGTCCCTGAGAAGCCCTGGCCCTTATCCAGCTCCCCAAGGGCCCAGACCTGATCCCCGACCTCCAGGAGAAGCCATACCTGTTGGATCCTCCCCCAGGCCCCACCTGCCTGGAGACTCCTTCCTGGAGGCAGCCCCAGCCGCAGGGGCAGCTGCAGCCACGGTGGAGCTCATCGGAGCGGGCCTGGTCTCGGGGTTTTCCTGCGGGAGACCTGGGTTGCTGAGCCGGGCCCAGCCTCTGCCTCAGTCCATGAACCTCTGTCTCTCTGTGCCTGTGTCTCTCTTCTCTCTCTGCTACTCCTTCTCCCTGGCCCTGGCAGCTCCCTCTGCCTTTGTCTCTCTCCCGTCTCTGTCTCTCTCTGTGGGTCTCCGCCTCTCCTGCCTCTCTGCCTGAACTCTGTCTGAACCCAGGGGCTGGCCCCAGGTCCCGAAGCCCCTCACAGCAGAGGCTCTGGCTTGAGGAGATTTCTCCCGGGGCAGCCGCTGGACGCAGTTTATGATCCTCTTAATCTTTACTGTCTCCACAGGGGATCAGCCGGCCACACCTGCAGTCTTACCAAGGTGCCCGGGAGCCGGTCAGTCCCGATACCCCGTGCCGGTTCCTGGGCTGCCCAAGGTCCCTGGGGCCCTCCTACCCTGTGTGCTGAGCTGTTCACTGTCCTGTGCCACAACTCCAACGGGGGTGTGAACTCCACTTCTCCCAAGGACTTTAATTTTTTTTTTTTTTTTTTTTGAGACAGAGAGAGTCTCTCTTTTTCCCCGGGCTGGAGTGCAGTGGCGCGATCTCGGCTCACTGCAACCTCTG